TTTTTTTTTTGTTTTTAATGAGCATTTTGTTGTGAGATCCTGCAAATGTATTCTAACCTCGTCCTCTCCAGAATTGGTCTAAAGAGCACTTCTTAACATCGTCCTTGCTTCATCCTGGCAGCATCCATCTCCAGCTGAGCAGGAAAACCTCTTTCAGATGCAGTGTGCCATTTCCCAGTTTACTTCCTCCTCTTACCTCCTGTTTCAGTCAGTGAAAGAAATCAATCCAATCAGCGTGGGAAAAGCAAGAACTTGGATGGAAAGCACATTCTGCAGAGCCCGAGCACTCTTCTGGGGAGGGAGCTGGAGAGGCCTGTGCTGGACTTGGAGCAGCATTTGAGAGCCAGCAGAGAGCTGTGTGTGGAGTGGGAAGACTGGGAACCACTGGCCTGGAGAGGAGCATCAGCCCTGCTCCCTCTCCTCACTCACTGTTTCTCCTTCAAGCTGAAGCTCTGCAGGTGAAAGTGAGGACAGTGCTGGTATGTGACAGGCCGAGGCATTGGCAGATGAGACAAATTTTGTGTTCTGATAGAACTCATAGTGCCTTCCCTTCAAACACTACTCTTCTAAATCAATATTTCAAAAGAACAAAACGATAGAGCACGTTTTTCCCCCTCCCCTCCTCCTCCTTTAGTTGGTGTCCCCCCTGCAAGAGCTTTCACCCAGCCCTTCCTAAGGGTGCTGGCTGGCTCTGCTGGGTGCTGCTCTGCAGACTGGCACACCAGAGATGAACGGCAGGAATGGACCATGGACAGGTACTTCTGTTGCTTTGTTTGTTTACATTTATTTTTTTTTTTTCTGTTAAAATATTGTTTTGAATTTAACTGTGGTAATTTATAGCCTCGTGGCAAAAAAAAATGAAGGAAAACTGTCTTACTTCTACAGAGAGCAGTATTGTATGAGTTAAATTATCCCATATTTTTAAATTTTTGTAGCTGGACTACAGACAGATCTTAAGTTATGATGTTATTTTATTATTTATTATCATTTCTGTAGATCAGAAGGTGGGCTTCACCGCTAGCACAATTGTAAGCTGTTTGTGTGATGTTACCTTCTCCCTGGCTGCTGGGGGGCTGGGAGCAGAGCTGGTCTCAGGAGCTGCTGCCTCTCGTGGTTTCCAAGGGTGCTGTTGTGCCAGGGCAGAGAAGCTGTCAAGGCTGGTCCCAGAGGGGTGGGTGCAGCCAGCCATGAGGACCCTGTGATGCTCCTCCTGGTTGCTGCTGCCATTTGTGTGGCTGGCAGAGTTGGCAGCCACTGAGCTGGTGGGAAAAGGTGCTCAGGGAGGGGGAATGGCTTTTGAACTGGCTTTTGAACTGGTAACCAAGTGGCTGTCACAAGATTCCCCTGGCAAAAGCATCCAAAAGGACAAGTGGAGAGGAGGGCAATAGCTCTGGGCAGTGGGTAGAAGATCAGGCACGGCCAGCAGTGGATCCACATGATGGATCACCCATGCAGGACCAAACAGGCTGCTGGAGAGGAGAGGGAGCAGTCAGCTTTCCCCTGCCTGCTGCAGCAATACTCAGCTCTGGGGGGAGGCAGAATGCAGGGGGGAGTGAAGCTCTTTTCTGGCTTGTTTCTTGTCTCTTCCCTCGCCCCATCTCTCGTTTCTCCTCCAAAATGTTCTGTCTCCCAGCCAGAGGCAGGAGGAGGTGGCAGGGCTGGAGGTGGCTTTGCTGTGGTGGTGTCAGAGGGGTTTTGATGTAAGAGGTGGTGTGGGTGGTTACCTGGGAGGCCAGAGTGCAGGAGTTCAGCAGTGCAGAACTGTGTGCACCTGACACACACACACAGGGAGGAAGACCCAACTACTGCAAAAAGAGAGGTTGAGAACAACCATCAGCAGTCCCCCCAGCAGAAGAAACCATCCCAGAGGGGTTTTGCTTGCTGTGGTCTCAGCTTAAGCTCTTCCACCACGTGTTGAAGCTCCTCAGGGCATGCAGAGAAGCTGTGATGTGTGGGAATTTGGGACCCCTCTGGGCCAGCTGTCCTGGGTGTGTGCTCACTCCTCTCCGTCCTCGCCCGGGGACCCACTGGCCCATCCTGCAGCCAGGAACAGCAGAGCTGAGCCTGTCAGGGTGTCTGCTCCCACACTCAGCTCTGGTTTCTTTGCAGGCCTGGGTTGTCACACTGTTCTGGTCCAGTGTCACCCCTCCTCACTGCTGCCCACCATGCAGCATCCCTCTGGGACTGCCCCCAGGGCTGCCCCGGCTCCCCTGGCACACACAGCTCCTTTCCTCGGCAGGGGTGGCTGCTGTCAGTGCTGCAGGGGACCACAGGGGCATTCCCTTGGTGCACCACCCTCCCCACAGCTGCCCAGAGGTGTGATCTCCACGTTGCTGGGTGCTCCCCACACTTCCTCTTCTGGCAGGGGGTGGGGCTGGGAGGCACCATCCTCCTCCTCCTCCTCCTCCTCCTCCTCGCAGTCACGCCGCCTTTGCAGGACAGTTAAACCACGGGTTCCCTTTCTCAGCATCCTGATCCAGTCCTGACAGCTCCTGAACACTAGCCTAGATTCTCTCCCAGAGCTGAATGTTGCCTTCCCCTCGTCGTGTTCAGTACCCATTTCATCTCAGCCCTGTCCAGTAGTGTTCATCTCTCTCCTCCCTGCTCTGCGGATTCCTGATACAAACTTGATTTCTTTTGTATTGAACAGTGTACAGTGATGGAAACAAGAATGACTATCAAAGCAAACAATGCATGGAATAAAAAGCCAGTGTACTTCAATGCTCCTCGGGCTGGTCTGGTGATCTGGGGATGGTCTCTCATGTACTTGGGGAAAATGTCATGGAGGCTTTTAATTCATTAACACGCTGGCAGTGAGCAGCTTGCCACTTCCCCTCCCTGAATGCAGCTGAACTGTAACTACTGGGAGCTCCAAGGAGCAGGGCAGAGGCTGGGTTGGATATTTTTTTGCAGTGTGAGCTGGGGGATTGAATCTGCAACCATGACTTCTCATCCTGGAAACCTTGCTGTCCTACTCAGCTCCAGCCCTGCTGGGGGGGAAGGTGCTAAAATGGAGGAAGCATTCACTCTGACATTGTCCCCAGGGTCTCCCATCTGACCCCTTCCATGCCAGAAAGTTTACTTTAGCCTCTCAGTGGAAGCTCAGGGAGGTACAAACATCAAAAACCCCAGAGCACAGGATTATCCCTGGGGGCTACTGTTCTCCAGCAGCTGGGAGACCCCACCTCTTATTTGGAAACCTTCTAGTTGCACAGGAGCAAAAAGGGGCTTCTGAAGGGTAAATCCCTGCCAGCCAGGCACATCCATTCTTTGGGGGGGGGCTTCTCTCCTTGTTTAGGCTTTTTTTCTCAACTTGATACTTGTACCACTGCACCTAAGAGGACAGAAGTAAGTGGTTCATCCTTTGAGGCTGAAAATGCTAAATAAGGATGGGTTTGGAGAGGGCAGGGGGAGGAGGGCCTGCCTAGAGCTGGACAACTGCTGCTGCTGGAGTGCTGGTGAGCAGCTCCACACACCCTGTGGGTGGGTGGGCTCCTGGGTGCCAAGGGCTGAGGCTGCTGGAGCAGGGAGCAGCTCTCTGCTGCCACATCAGCCACGCCAGGGAGCTGAGCTGGGCTCACAAAGCTGGGCAGGGGGAGAAGTGCAGGAGCTCAGGGGAATCCTGTGCCTTGCAGGGGGACCAGGGGGAGTGTGGGGCTTGGCCCCTGTGCTCAAGAGAGGGACTGAGGGGTTCTCACTTGCCTTCCTCGTGGGATGCTACAACTCCTGATATTTTTTTTTCCCATTATTAACATGTTTGCAGCACCCTCAGGCATGCTGGAGAGACAGTGACTGATTTAAAGGACACAGGCAAATAACAGAGGTGTTCACAAAGCCCCTGTATAGTGCTCTCCGTGCAGATACATGCACAGTGAAACATTCAGTAAAAATAAGAACCTTACACCTCCTCTTACAGGAGAGGAATGATTAAAAACTCCACTTGTCCTTGGTCCACGGTGGCACAGAGCATGCAGAACACAACCCACAGGAACAGAGCCCTGCAGCTTCTGTGAGACATTTCCCCCAGCACCTGGGGCTCTTGGCCATCACAAGCTCTTTTTGCCATTGAGTAACTGAGTGTGCTTGTCTTCATCCAGCTTCAAGTGCTTCTTGCTGTATGTCTTGATGAGGGTCCCTGGTATCAATGCTGCCACAGCCATGGCAAGGAGTTTGAGCAGCGTGTCCCAGGAGAAAATGGCATCCAAAGAGGTGATCTGTGACAGAATGGCTCCTGTCTGCACACAGATGAAATTATAGGGTGTAAGTCCTGAAAGAATCAGAGCAAAAAAAAGCCTGTTAGCATTCCCTCCTTGTGAAATTCATTGCAATATGCTCTTGCCCAAGGCCAGACACAAGAGTCTGTGTCCACACTGGAAAGAGCAGGTTGTGATTTCAAAACTTTTTGCTGCAGTGGTGCAAAATGTTCTGAGGTCTCTGAGCATTAAGGGCAGCACAAAGGCAAACAGTAAAATGAAGCAGAGTCAGAGCCAGGCCCCTGCCAATCCCCAGCCCAGGCCTGGTGGGGAGGGTGCCCCCTCAGACAGTCTCTCCCCCAGGCCTCACCGATGAGGACGGAGAAGAAGAACTGGGACACGGGGATGTTTAAAATGGGAGCTGAGAGATTCAGAAACCAGTTTGGTGTCATGGGGAACAGCCTCAGGAACAACAAGAAGAAAAATAAGCAGCTCCTGTTCTCTTCTACCTGCCAAGAGAAACGTTCCCAATTATTTCTGCTCCTTGAACAGAATTTCCACAAATTAAAGTGATTTAAGTTTTCTCCTGACATGCTGCAACATAACATCAGTCCAGAACTGGTGAAAAGCAGCAACTTCAGGGACACGTGGGAGCCTAAGGGTGAGCCAGTCCCTTCTATACAAGCAGTGAAAATGGCATCTAACCTGAATGAGAGGTCAGGAAGCCAACAGCAGAGCCACCTCCAGCTGCACAACACAGCACAGGATGAGTGGAAGCAGTTCTGGCACACAGGGACTTCCCAATCAATCAGGTACCTTCTGATTTGCCTCCAGATCTGGCATTTTCCACACGCCCCCTTTGCAAACAGCCTTGGTCTGCCCCTAGACTGTCAAAGGAAGCCCTTAACTGACCTGATGCATCCCCTGCACACACTCATTTTTTCACTAAGTCAGTCCAAAAGGCAGCCTGACCCAGGGGGCATTCTGCCAGACCAAGGCTGTTCTTACCTTTCTCTGCAGCAGAGCCACTTTCTCAGGAAAGTAGTGGACAACAAGCTGCTTTCCAAACACGTCAGAGAGCAGGTAGCAGCATGTTGCTCCCACAGATGTGAGGACTGAGCACAGCACCAGCCCAGTCCATGGTCCAAAGAGTGCTCCAGCGAGGACATTCTGCCAGGACACAGCACCGAGTGAGCACAGCAAGTGTCCCCCCAGCCCAGCTGCCTCCTGCCTCAGCCACACGGGCTTCTCCAGAGCATCACACAGTGAGCTGGCTTGGAAGGGACCTCTAAAGCCAT